AAAAAAAAGCCAGCAAGCTCTTAGCCTACCAGTTAAGGGCCTGATTCTATGAAGTCTTGATCACATGCATAATCTCTAGTGCCGACCGAGGTGTATAAATCATCACTTGTGTAAAAGTCTCTAAATATGTCTAGTAAAGAATGCCTAAATGTGTAACACATGCACAGACACCGATGGGACTAAGGCATTCAGGAACCATAACCCATCTGTCCATTAATATTTTATGTGTCTCACCTGCTCATGTGGTGTATTAGGACTACCAAATGTAAATAAGTCTCAGATGTACATTTATATTTAGGATTTACATTTTGTATTTTTGGAGGGGTTACACTGAGTGCATTTGGAGTGCCTGGTGTGGAAGATTCCCATGTTTGTAGTTTTGTGCTCTTCTGGTCTCTTTGGGAGTCTTCCTTTGGAGTTCTCATTTTCTTTTGCAGGCTTTAGTAGGCTTTAAATGTAGTAGTGAAATAATTATAATGCCACAAAATAGTCAAGTAAAAGGTAGAGTAGTTCCTAAATGTTTGCAGATAATCTATAGGTTGGGGAATGAGAGACTAGCAGGTCAATTTTTTGCATTTCTGAGTAGTAGGAAATTCATTATGTTTTCTAAGCAAGCTGGTTTAATGTAATTTCTATATATTTTGAGGTGGAGGGAAACTTGTATAAAAGTTTTGGCCAACTTGTAAAGGTTGGCTTGCTTCCCCCAGTTGGTGTCCTGCACAGCCACGGGTTTTATATATTTGCCTGGAGAGCAAGCTTTACAAGTTCCATGTTCCCATACTTCATCCACCATGTTACATATTTTAACAGTTCTGTAATGCTCTGGATATTTTATTAGGTAGTGCTTTAAATTAAGGTTCCCAAATACATATTAAAGATTCCATAAGACACTTAGGCTGCACTTTTGAAAGCTACCTAGGGGATTTTGGGATGCTCAATTTCCATTAAAATTAATGGGAATTAGGTGTCAAAATCCCATAGGCATCTTTGAAAATCTCAGCCTTATTGTATGCTAAATAAATACTCATTGTTAAGGAAGACATTTATTGAGGTTTAGCAACTTCATTGCAATCAGATGTAAAATGCTGGAAGCTCTGGGGTGCAGTGCCAAATCCTGCACAATCATATGGGATTTTTTTAATGGAAGGATTGAGGGAAGGGGAAGAATATTGTGGTGTTTTCTTAAAATGCCACAGAGAAGCAGCTTTGTTGAGCTGCTCATGGGGGTCATTAAAGTGTAAATACCAACAATTCAACAGTGCAGTGGATTCTAGATTATTATTTGAGTTGCCTGCATAAGGATATAACAAAGATTTAAACTTTTGCTTAGCACCCTACACATCTATTTAACCTCCAAGTATGTAAAAGATAAAAATACAGGTTACACTTCATCCCAGGTGAAATCTAGAGCCAATATATCAGTGGGAGTTTTGCCATCAATGGGACCAGGATTTCACTTTAAGTGCTCAAATGTTTGCTAAATAGGGATGAGTTTAAACATGTGGTTAAGTGCTTTGCTGACTCTAGGCCATACATTTGTTATACTCAGTTTGTTTTAAACCTCAGCTAATAAGATTTTAGTCATCATCCACTGTATAAATAAAATAAAATTAGTTAATGTTCATTTTAATTCCTTAGCTACTAAATCTTTATTGAAGGTATAAACAAATTAAGTTAACAAGACAGTTTCTGTCCCAAGCAACATAAAAAGATGCATACATTTAAAAAAAAATCAATCATTAGTCAACACATACATAGCTGACTTGTTTGTGTTGTATACTAATGCACATGTACATTCTGATTCCTGGTTTTAGAATATGTGTGTTAAATATGAGCTATGAAGCATATATAGTTATTAAAATGTATGTAAGTGAGATACGTATTGCAAAGTAAATATCAAGGGACAGATATGTGTAGTATGATTGTATTATATTATGTTAGATTCTAAAAGAAATGTGGTTAGGAGAATATATTGTTTATATGCTGAGAAAGCTTTGTAATTAGAATGTACATAGTAGGAAAGTAAACATTCAAATGAGCACAAAGGAACATACACACATGATCTCAAAAATTCCTTCAAGCCATCTCTTCAAATTCCAAATAACCTGAAATCGTTAGCTCACATATACAAATATTAGGAAGAATAATTATTAAAATATGGCCAAGTGGATAATAACTATTCCAAACCCTTGAAACGTTGTCTTATAACTTTTAAAAATTGATATCAGTCATCTCTGTTTTTGGGGAACCAGGGTGCAGTGTCTGGCCTGTCTTACTCATGAGGGACTCCCCCCCGGTCTCTGCTTGAACCAAGACCAATCAGAGAAAAGGCTTGCAGAGAGCAGTGAAGGGCATTGGCAGAAACACCTAGACTCCTCCTGACAAGGGTGACAAGATTAAGACATCTCTATCTACATACAGAATGGAGAGCACAGGCAACTTCTAATCCCTGTCCTCATCTGCATGAAAGATGGGACAGGGATTAGAATACAGAATGAAGAACAGAGAACCGCACCGAACTCTGGGACCAGAAAAGCAGGGAAGCACTGCATCATGGGAATCTCTGCTCCAGATGTTAATGAACCTACGCCTGCCCATGCCCAGCTCAGCAGTTATCAGACCAATTCTAATCATGAATCTTTGATTGATATCCAAATTACTGAAGCAGCCTAGTTGCATTATGAGCTCCCTGGAAGAAAACACCATAGACTTGCTCTGTTAATATATGTGTGTGTGTGTGTGTGTTCATCTGGTTTTGGGGCAGGTGGAACCTAGGTCCTGCAGGATAGCTCCATTGGGAGGGGACTTGCATAAGGGAGTAGAGCTCCATGTGAAAACAGACGTGACACAAGCAGTACATTGATAGAATTACAGACACCCCCCCTCCCAGGAGACTAACCCAAATAAATGAGCATACCTCAAAGTAACGGTCAAATCTGGTAACAAAATTGCTGGTAGTCTTTCTGGCAATCATAGTGTATATAGATTAGTTATGTATTCAGGTAGCAAACACCTGACTTTGTAAAGGGTTGGGGCATAGGAAGTCTGGCTTAGCAGTCACAGTTGGACAAGTCAAGGATGGTCACGAGGCAGTAGTCAGTGACAAGGGATTGGAGTAATTGCTAGAGCCGGGGGTCAGATAAGCAAGGGATAAGCAAGAGCCAGGGTCCGAAACCAGAAATAGTATCAGGTTAGAATCAGGAGGCAAAAGCCAGGGTCAAAGACTAGAGATTACAAAGCAAGGTACTGGCATCACAGCAGGTCAATTACCGGTTTTCCTCAGAGATTTTTTGTTCTTATTGCACATCTCCATATTAATCCTTCTCTTACAGGATCAGTACTACAGAACTCAATTCTTCAAACATTACAGAGAACAGCTTCAATGGGACTACTCATGATAGTATGCACTCTGCTTGGAAGTAGCTGTAGGGTTGGACCCATAGCTTTGTGGGGCTCTGTACCCGTGTGAGGATTCATCCGCCTGGGCCCAACCGCAGGATTAGGGTCATAGTTTTTTAGTGCATCCTTTCTATGGCAAGTGCTTAAAAAGAACAATTCCTCTAAAGAAAATTGGAGCAGTAGACAGCTAGGCTCATAAGTAGATGGTCAGAGCCATATATGTTTTGATATAATGTCTCAAGTCATGCTAGTAATTTAAAAAATATACAGCATGGAGCTTATGGAGGGCAATGGCAACCCAATAAAAGTAAATACCTTTTTAAAGTGAGAAGCAAATAAATGACTGTGTAACATGGTAAGCCTATAAATGTTTTGATTTTCTTCTGGTCTGCACTCATATTCCATGCCTACAAAAATAAGGAATATCAAGTCTGATCTTCCATGATATTATTGGAGGATTTCCTGGAGAGCTGAACATGCAATATATGAGGATGGTTGTCTTGTGTTAGGGCACTAGCCTAAGAGCTGGCAGAATTGAGTTCAATTCCTTGCTGTGACAGAGACCTCACTTGGTCTCTTTGTGCCTCAGTTCCACATCTGTCAAATATGGGGGTAATAATAGAGCTGTTTGGAAATTTTCTGATGCAATATTTTTTCATCCCAAAATGCCACTTTGTAAAAAGCCTTAACTGTTCAGGAAACAGTCGGTTCTGACAAATCTCTTGATTCAAAAAAAAATTTGAAGTAAGTTTTGACATTGCTGAAACAGCTCATTTTGGCATTTTCAAACTGAGACGTTTTGGTTTTCAGTTCAAAATGACTTTTTGTTTAGAAATTATAGTTATTTTATACTAAAAAAGGGTCAAATAACAGGCAGTATGCAGGAGTCAGGATTTCTGTGCTAGCTAAAATAAGCAGGAACACCATGGTGCTAGAGACAATGGATAAGATAAACTTGGAATGTAAAGATGAGGTTATACATGAACAGTGCACTGACAGAGCATGCTGTACAGGGATTGGTTCCTGCAAAGTAACCAGTCCAATCCCAAAACTTATAATGCAATGTATCGCAAATGCAATGTAATGTGTAAATGTATATAAAGGAAGAGGTTTTCTGTGTAACTTTTATGTGTGGTACGTCCTATACCCACCCCCTGTGCTTGAGTCTGAATAACTCAGCATAGCTTCACTGTATGCCAAATGAAGGAACTTGAGTGATGACCTTCAGGGTCCTAGAGCTCAGGCTCCAGCCCAAGCCTGGAAGTCTACACCGCAATGAAACAGCCCCGCAGCCTGAGCCGGCTGTCATGGGCCAGCCGCGGGTTTTTCTTCGCTGTGTAGACCCACCCTAATTGGCCCTTTCTCAGCTTCCTTAATACTTTCAGGGCTGGTGTGGGATGAACACCCCATCATACAGTTTATAAGTTGGTTAAAAACCAGCAAAACAAAATCACCACAAAACTGAAAAATGTTTACAAAAAATTCTCATTGAAGTTTCAAAATTTTCTGTCAACTTTTTAAATAAACTATTAAGTAAAAATGAAAACAAGGAGCTTAAAAACAACCTGACTAAAAAACCTCTTGCCTTCTCAACTGGCTACCTTTCATTCTCTTCACTCTTGTCATGTCATAATTTCCCACTTTTCTAGTCATCGTCAATTTTTCCAGGACAAACAGAAACTTGATTTCAATCTGAAAAACAGAAGAAAATATCTTCATATTAAAAATAGTAAGCCAACAAAACTTTTAGATCTTTTCTACTACATAAATATATCAAAACAAATAAAGGGCATAAGCATTTTTTCCATATGCTGGTCACTTTTAAGTGGTAGCTTCTTTCCTACATGTGTCTGATGATCCCTCAACATACTGCATCTGTTATTGTTGCTGTGCTTATCACCAACTCCTGTGGATACATTTTCTTAATTGTGGGTCAGACAAGCTCTTGGAATCCAGACTATCTCTTTTACGGTATCTAATGTGGCAGGCTCATTTGTTTTAAATACCTCACTTTACAACCCTCAGAGTCATCCTTTAGCAGGGTCCCATAACATGTTTCACTCTTCCCCTCCTAAATTCCAATTAAGCAGCCATCCATCTTTAACCATTACCTTTTTTAAAATCAGAAAGACTTATGCAGAGATGGAAAACACCTATTTTATCCATCTCCCTGACAGTGCAGGTTTATTCCCTAGAGCATTTTTCACTTGTTTTACTGTGCACTTTTAAAATAAAGTTAGATCCCAAATAACATGAACAGCTAGAATGACACCAAGTTTGGATAATTGAGAGTATATATTGTCAGTAGTCAATGCCAAGAGAATCAATGGACAGGAAAAGACATTTTATTTTCTCTACTGCTATAAATGTTCACAGTGCTTTACAGACAACTAAAATACCCAAGCCAAAGTGGCCACTGATTTTGTGTGCCTATGTTGATATACTCATAGTCCTCTGAGAAAGGCTGAACTCTTCAGCTATTGGCAACCAAGAGAGAGACATGACAGAGATAATCACCAAGATTTTTAGAATTATTAAGGTGCCTAAAAATGAGATATGTGCCTAGTGAGCTTTTCAAAAGTGCCTAGGTACTTAACTCCTGATGCTTAGGTGCTTTTGAAAATCCCATTAGGTGCCAACCTGCATCTTTAGGCACCTAAATACTGTTAAATATCTGGCCCCAGAACTCTTGCTTGTTAGGGAGTCATGGGTGGCCTTAATGAACTCTATTTTTCTGTATTTATAAACTTTGGTAAAAAGCAAATTTAGTGAAAATGAAAGATTCTGCTTTGGTAACACTGGAGGATGATGCATCCAGTTATTCACAGAACAGATACAAGCAAAGGAATCAGTCCTATCCTATATCAGCCCACAATATCACCTCAGTCCTGACTTACAGAAATCCTCTGTAAGAGTCAGAGGGTAATTAAATCTATATGCCCATTTAGTCCCTGGGCTTTCTGCTGAGACTGCTAGTAATGGTGCCAGTTAGTGCTCACGCTAATGGTAATTTTTGTGATGTGGTCACTTATTCACAAGAATTTGGACTGAGCCTGCCAAACTTATTTCACATAAGTCACTAAACAGCTGTCAGCTGATAACAACATTTGGTCACCGCTGACTTACAATGACACCTATTCATGTTCTTCTGATGCCACTGGGCATGTCTTTCTGTGCCATTGCTGCTCCGCCCTCAGTCTTGTGTGTGAGGCACTTCACAAAAAAACAAACCAAACCAAAACCACACACACATAGGAGTGCAAAGACACAGTAGGAAAGCAGGTCAGATCTTTTTATAATCAGAGGAGAATCAATTGCTCTGTCAATACCATGCCAATCAAACAAAGTATCTCATTAGGAGAAAGATGAATTATTTGTTCCCATTTAGTGATGAGAGAGAAGACAAAAGAGATGACCCAGACAGACATGGATGGGATAACGGGTCTTAAGATAATGAGGCTTATTTTTAAACATCCTTAGCAGAATAATACCAATAAAAGGTCTTGATTTTACTAAAATTTATCCATTTATAGGGCCAATCCTATGCTTTGGCATAGGTGGGTAACTTCAATTTGGCCCAAACATTTCTATATACAATTGATATCAATGTAGAACTTGCCTGGGTTATCACTATCTTGAACAAGTATGAGAGCTGTGGTGAATCACTTAGCCTAGCCTGTAAAATAGCAAAGGTATAATTAAATAAAAATTGGTACACTACAAGTTTAGTTAAAAAACTCCTAGTCATTCTCAGGCATTCCCCTTAGCCTTTTATATAAGCAGTGAAATAAAAACCAAATAACTCTCTTAATAGACAAAATCATTATTTTCAATCAATGCATAACGGCAAGCTGCATTTATTTATATAAGGGCCAGATAGTGCCAAGCTGCTGGAAAGGGTTGCTAGGGAGGGGAGTGCAGAAAGGCTAGTGACAGTCACAGTTCTAGGGCTCATCTGAATACAATGAATAGACAGGGCTGGCGCCTCCCAAAGAGGCTGGGAAGGGGAAGGCAGGAAGCGAGGGCATGGTTCTATCCCATCTCTTCACAAGGCAACAGCTATGTACATGAAGTGCACATTGCAGTGGCCACATTCCTGCAACAGGACAAATTCATCCCTGGAGTAGCTGCCCCAAAATCCATGGAATTACACAAGGGATTAATTTAGCCAATGTCTCCTGGAGCTCCTGCAGATCTGGTACAGACTTTTGTCACCCCCAGCACAGGCCAGTGCCTTACAATGCCTAAAATAGCCACTGTGTTGCCAACTCTCATGACTTTACCACAAGTTTGCCAATGTTTGGTGTTTTTCTTAAAGGCCCAGATTCTGGAGTCAAGTGATTATTTGAGAATCTCACCTTCTTGTAAGTAAGTTTCTAACCTTATATTTTTGGAGAAAAACTTAAAAATATGAAGCAAATCTACCCTGAAAAAAAAGAGGACAGATAAAAAGATAAATAAGTTGTATTATGTTAAAAACAAAACTCTCATGATTTTTTATGGGCTGACTTATGATTCTTTAGTACTTGGGGTTGGCAATACTGTAAGAAGATATGTAACTCTACTGTATATTGTGGAATTAATGGTGCTAGACTGGCTTATATATCAGTAGTAACAAATACTTATGCATTCTTTTGGTTTTACAGTTATCAGATTTATTGTATCATAATGTATACTCATATTGTATTAGTGACCAGTAGTCCTGCGGGGCATATAATCTACTCTAGAGGGATCATTTCATAATACATCAATAGAATAAAAAAGCCTATGGATTTTATGATAGAGCTGTAAAACAAATATTAGGTATTGTAACTAAGCTGTGCTAAAAGAAAGCCATTGCTCAACAAATTTACCATGCTGTGCATCGGATATACAATAACGTTGCAATCTCTAAATTCAGATGCTTTGGGAGTTCCACTCACAGACAATTTGTAGAATCTGCCCAGTAATATCGAGAACTATTGTCTTGGTAGTTGACATGATTTTCAATAATTCTCATTCTCATTTCATTCCTGTTATTTATATAGCACCACAAAAGAGTACTAGGTATTTTACAGACATGTGCGATGACAGGCCTCAGCCTTGTCAAATTTATAGAATACAGTCCCAATCCTGCAAACAGCTTAACTTTATTCATACAAGAAGGAGTCTCATTGAACTCAGTGGGGCTATTCACACACGTTAATCCAAGCATATGTGCATGCTTGCATGCCTGGGGCCTCATGGGGCAATCCTGAAACTGCATCTACTTAGATTGACCCCCAGAGCCCATGGGGAGGCAGCTGCAGTATCAGAGGATAAGGTCTCAATCCTGCAAAAACATATGTGTGAGAGTAATTTAAATAGACTTCAGTAGACTTTTTATTCTAATGTGTGTTTTGCAGGATCTGGCCCCACACAGTACAATAGGCAAAGGACAGAGAAGGGTGCGGGGAAGAGACGTGCACAGAAATGTTTTTTACAACACCTCTTATATCCTTTGTGTGGTATAGTCTCCTCACATATATTTATTTTTGTTTGCTTATTTTTTAAAACCTTGCCCTGTTTTCCTTTTTTGCTTTTAGTTTTGTTTAACTGTTGCCTATATTCTATTTCTAATCTGTGGCTATTTGATTGTTTCCCCTTTGATTGCTATAATATAAGCTAAATAAATTCTCTCTCTTCCAGCCTTTTTGTTCTTGTTGTTCTTTGAATAAATAACCTCTTCCCAGCCTTCTTCTGTCCTATGCCTTGATCATGCAATGAGATGTATGAAGACAGACCTGTGCATCTACATTAAAATTGTTGGGGCTCTGTGTGGGTACAAGGGTATGCCTGCACACACCTCATTGCAGCACTGGGACTCAAATGCCAAGACTGCCTGCAAAAGTTACTTCCATCTATTTGAGAGGAAATATTAGGGAGAAAGGTTAATTTAATGATCAGTGCACAAAATTGGGACTCTGAAGATATAGGTTCAACTCCCAGCTCTGCTACAGACTTCCTGTTTATCTCTGGGCAATTCACTTAATCTCAGTCCCACAATTCTCCATCAGCAAAATGGGGATAATAATGCTTCCTTTCTCCCACCTTTTAGCTGTGTTATCTATTTAAGTGGTAAACTCTTTGGGTCAGCAATTGCTTCTTACAATGTATACGTACACTGCCTACCACAGTGGGGCTCCAATCCTGGTTTGGGCCTTCAGTTGCTTCTCTACTACAAACAGTCATTTACCAAAAATGACCCAGATGATCACCCACAATAATTTCAAATGTCTCCTAGTTTTGAGAACAGGAGCAGGATGACAGGAGTCTTGGTTCATTCAGTTTAATCTCCAAGTTGCACATGCAATGAGGCAGTGCTCTATCAAAATACAGTATTGACAAGTGATCAAAAACCATGAGTTAGACACCCAAAAATCATAAATTTGTCTTTTAAATCTTCAGATTATATATAAAAACAATTTGGGTGTTCTTTCCTTTTGCCTTCTGGCTTCTGAGCACTTATGGGTCACATTTTTCATGTTTTCTCCACAACAGTGAAGACTAGAAACTTACTCTCTTTTTTTAATGAAAGCTAAGATTTTCATGCAATCACTGCCCTCCAAGATCTGAAGAAACACCAGATATCATGAGGCTCTATCCAGTCACAATACTGGAAATGCTAGTTCTTTGTGAGTGAACTTTGGGCAGCTCGTGCATCCCAGTGG